CCACTTTATAAAGGAGGTCAAAGCACGGAACCTGGGATGAAGCTCACAAGTCCCTTCTGGTCTTCTGCTGTCTCATCAGAACGAAGCTTCCGCAAAGGAATGACTCCAAACGAGACACTGCATGACAGTGGGAACTGGGCCTCCATGACACATGACATGGCTCCGTAAGTGGTTTATTGTGATCTGCATGTGTACTTCAAATTCATAAAACACCCCTCTAATGCCAATAGAGGCAATAGAGGTTGGCAAACTCAGCTTCGTGGGCTCAAGATTAACTGAGAAGATGAAGTCCTTGCGTGCCTATGACACTGCACATCCCAATGTGAAGTGTCCTATTTGGGAGATTAAAAAAAAAATTCTGGGCAAATGCCACTTATTGCCCACTATTCTTGAGAGTCACAATTAAAATTAGTATACTTGAGGCTCCAAGAAGTTGTGCAAGGATGAGGCCTGTGGAATACTTTAACATAAGTACATGCAGCATCTCCAGCCCCCGGACCCTTTACAAAGGTAACATCTAAGAGCTCTTGCCAACAACAGTTCCACAGAACTTGACTTTGCATAGTGTTGCAATACATTTCTATTGCATGCAGGTACTAGTAACAATCACAGTATTTTAAAACATTAATACATTCCTCCAATAATTCCAATTTACAATCTTCAACAAGGCTGACAATGTTTTGGAAGCTACATCAATACAGGTTCAATTCTTTTTTAAAAAATTTATTTATTTATTTATTTATTTATTTATTTATTTATTTATTTATTCATGACAGACACACAGAGAGAGAGGCAGAGACATAGGCAGAGAGAGAAGCAGGCTCCATGGAGGGAGCCCCATATGGGACTTGATCCTGGGACTCCAGGATCATGCCCTCGGCAGAAGGCAGGCACTCTCAACTGCTGAGCCACCCAGGGATCCCAATACAGGTTCAATTCTATTACAACAGAGTAAATAGAAAAGAAAAAAAAAAGGCTATTGTAAAAAAGAAAGAAGAAAGGAAAGGAAAGGAAAGGAAAGGAGAAAAAGGAGGCTGCCCAAATTTTTGTGCTGTGTTTTTTTGTTTGTTTGTTTGTTTGTTTGTTTGTTTGTTTTAGAGAGAGCACACACAGGAGGGAGAGGGGGAGAGAATCTCAAGCAGTCTCCATACCCAGCTCAGAGCCTGACATCATGACCTGAGCCAAAATCAAGAGTCCGCTGCCTAACAGGCTGAGCCGCCCAGGTGCTCCCACTGTGCTCTTAAATGTATCAAATATTCCTTGTTATTGAGTGTACTCAGAAACTGAATAGTTTTTGATCATTTTTTTATGTAAAAAATTTATTGTAATATACTTTTTACTATATTGCATTTACTGAGTGACTCAGACTCAGTATCTCTATGAATATTAATAAAACATCTTCCAAAATTTTCAGTATTATAGCATGCTATCATTAACTTTTATTGAATTTATATATGTAATTTTCATGAAAATATAAAAATGAACTTTCCCTTTGGGGCATATTAAAATATTTCTGAACAGAATCCTTTTTTATAATAAGAGTAATTGAAGAACCTTTTAAGTTTTAAAAAAATATATTTACAAAAGCTGAAAAAAGCCCATTATCTATTCTCTCAAATACAGCCACTATTAACATTTTCATCAAGTCTGTTCTTCTTTGCATGATCAGTTTTTAGCATCATTGAAATCCCACTCTGTTGTCTCTATTGATTTAACATTATAGCAAGAATATTAGCATTTGTTTTTATACTTGATGAATGTATAAACAAAGAGAACATTTTAAGATGAGACTCTGCCTTCCAAGAGATGTTGGTGGTTTCAATTTTGGGGGGATCCAGAAGGAGTAATTAAGATGTTCCTCATAGAATGCAGAGGAATGCAGGGCTGTCTTAGATGATGACTCGGAGCACAGTGACCCTTGGCAGTGTCTCCTCTCCCTAGCTAAGCCCACTTGGGTCCCCCTCCAAGGTCTTCCCACTCCAAGTGCTGAGACCCTCCAGGCTTTCCCTAGGTCAGATGTTAAGTCAAATGGCCAAGGTCAGGAAGGACCGGTGAACTCTCCCCTATTCTAACAGTGAAAATTGAGATGAACAGCCTTCCTTCAACCATCAAGTTTTGCTTTTCCTTTTCTTCCAACCTGGTGATACATAAACAATTGCACATGACCTTATGGTGTGAGCTCATGGTAAAATACATAATCTAAGGTAGTTGAGGCTTGGAGCCTAAGTGATGTGGCCAAGCCCCTTCTGGCTGGTAAGTGATAACTCCAGAATCCCATCTCTCTGGCCCTTCCACCTTTCTGCGCAGACCTGCACCCTTGATTCCAAGCAGGCATAAAACGCCATGTAAAATGTGAGATAAAAAAAGCACAGCTGTCCTCAGCTGTGCGGAATTAGGAGATATTTCAATCTGATAGAATTAATGGGCTTTATTGCAAAATCCTCCTAATTCCTCCGTCAGCTCGTCTGAGCCCAGGTTCTGGGTTCTCTGTTGCTGGGTTTTCATCTCAGGCTGACAGATACTGCACATTGAGAATAAAAAATGCACAGGGCGGGAGGTGGCTTTGGCTTTCATAATGGCCACAGGTGTTCTGGTGTGCCTTTCTGCTTCACCCTTTTTACACGCTGCCAGATGACAAAGACATGATGATGAAGACTGCTTTTACTTTCTGGGGTTTCACACAACTAGAAGGATTTGCTGCGTGGGGCAGCTTTCATTTGTCTCCTGTGTTTTCTCTGGGAACATTGTGCTCTCAAAGACAGCTCCAAAACTGTGGATCTGCAGGGCAGGTCAGGCTTTACTCTGAGTAAAGGCGGGTTAGAAAAACAATAGAGTGAAGTCAAAAGAACATTCTAACCAGGCCATGTGAGAGACTAGGGTTGGGATGTGCTGGTGACAGCCAGGGAACAGTAAGAAAGGAACCAAACTGCTCACATTTGTCTCTTTGAAACAGGTGAACAACACCATAAAAGGCACACCCTTTGCCATTTGACATCATTACAAAGAAATATATTTTCCCAAGCCCAGGCCAATAGGGCCCCAAATGGACACTTTCAATCTGTTGTTCTAATCACTCAAGTTGTCTTGCAAACGTAGGCTGAAGGTATGTGATTTACCAACTGAGACTGAGGCTCAGTTTCCTTGTCCATAAAACTAAGGATTTTGAACACACAACCACCGATGGACCTTCTAGTACAGTTTCTGTTGTTTTTGTATAAACTCAACAAACAGCACTGAACACATTTCCTCCTGACAGGTCTCGTTCTCCACCCCCTGCAGTGCCTGAGTCCCACATTTCCTGCCTGCAAGGAGTGACAGTTCACTAGGGGCCATGAGGCCATGTAAAGCCAAGCCAGGTGTGTCTACGGTGCAAGAGATGCAGCAAGAGAGTCTCCCCAGATGAACACAAAGACATTGTAGAGGAAGTGGCACTTGATTAGGCCTTGAAGGATGAGAGGGGTTTTAACACATGGACACGAGGAGAAAAGGAATTCTAGGCAGGGGATGAGCATGGGTAAGAAGTAGGAAAGAGCAAGGCAAGTCCATAGTATCCTGAGATAAATATGCCCGGGGCTTAGGGCCGGAGCAGGGGAATCATTAGAAGGCCTTGAACTCCAGGGCAAGCGGTATGTAGTTTATCTGGTGGGTACCGAGGAGCCATTGAGGCCTAAAGGAAGAGACATAATGCCATTATATGTATTAGAGTTGTACTTTAGGAATATTAATCTGGCAAAATGGGCATATTGGTTTTCCTAAAGTTCCCCAGGTGACAAATGGAGGAGCTGAGATTAGAACCCACCCAGGCTGACTTCCAAGCTTGTGCACATAACTCTCCAAGAAGGCCACAGAAACTAGACAAGCTTCAGATCTACAGCTGCCATGTTTAGATACCAGTGTCTTATCCAGAGAGACACGTTGAGTGGGAAACAACATCAGACATGAAGGGGTGGAGATTCACCTACTAATTCCTAGTGCTAATGGGTTGAATGGTGGCCCCCAAAAGATATGCCCACATCCTAATCCCCTCTACCTGTGAGCATCACCTCATAGAGTAAAGGACTGGATATGACTTTACATAGCAAAAGATGTGAATAAGTTAAGGATCTTGAGAAGAACTTGTCGTGGGTTACTGGGTAGCCGTACACACGATCATACATAACCTAATAAGAAAGACACTCAGAGAAAAAGAGAAGAAAGAAGCAATGTGACCATAGAGACTGAAGTGATGTGCCACAAGTAAAGGAATACCTGAGGCCTCCAGAAGCAAGAGGAAGCAAGGAACGGTTTCTCCCAAGAGCCTTGGATAGGAGTGCGGCCCTAAAACACCTTGATTTCAGACTTTTGGCCTCCAAAACTGTGAGGAAAGACATTTCTGCTGTTTGAAGCCCAAGGCTGTGGAATCTGTGACAGCAGCCACAGGAAACCAATATACTAGGTAACCTTTTGTTAAATTTAAATTCATTTTGAATTGATAAGACATGCATATGTTACCAAATTTTAAAAGGGTAAAGGATTTATGGTGAAAAGGAAATCTCCCTTCTTTCCATGCCCACAAGCCACCAGTTTTCCTCCAAAGAGGCATCCACTATTATTGGCTTTAAATGACCATTTAATCATGTGTATGGGTGTGTGTGTGTGTGTGTGTGTGTGTGTGTGTGTGTGACTACAGAATCTCGCAATTATCCCCAAGTAATGTGAAAGGTCATCTGTGTTATGAGGTTATGAAAACAGACCATATTCTTGCAGACAGACAGACCTGGTTCAAATTCCTTCCCAGTTCCAACAGGTACCTGGAGACTTTCTGGGCAAGCTCCCCAACCTTGGAGGGCCTTGGTTTTCTCCTCTGTAAAAAGGGGATGATGATGATGTTTCCCATCTCTGGGACTGCTAGAGGATCTGATGAGTTGACGTGGGTGAAGCTCCCAGCAGAGACTGGTATGTGGCTTCCTAGGGAGTCCCTATCTTGTAGACTACCATCACTGCTACTCACGTGGCCTGGTAGGAGTGTTCCTCAGCTCAGCCTTCCTCCGCTTGGAATCAGCCCTGGTGCATCTCTTGCTGACATACCTAAGAGAGATGGCTGCATTCTTGTCCTTCCAGAGTTATTTCTGACTGTCTGCCATGGTATCTTCCTTCAGTGTTGATGAGGTTACAAAACATCGATCAGCCAAATTTTTAAACCCCTGAAAAGAAAGTAGTGAGCATTAAGGGAAGGCCAATGTGCCTGGGCTACCAAGACAGGATTCTGGGCCTCTGCCCATGCTGTTCCTTCACCCACAAATGCCTTTTGTCCTAAGTACAAAAATTCCAATAGCAACTATGCACCAGCCTCATTAATGTAATAGAAAGAACACAGGAGTTAGAGAATTCAAAGCCATTTATGTACACTGCAACTTTGGCAGGAACTCTTCCACTCGGTGAGCCTCAGTTTTTTATCTGTAAAATGGGGATAATTTTTTTTTCATATCTATCTCAGAGTCATCATGTGGGTTATAAAAGAAGAATCAGGTGCCAACTTAGGCATTACCTACTCCATTCCTAATTTTACAGATAAGGTATTTGGGACCCACAAAAGGCAAGTCACCTGCCCAAGATTACCTAACAAGTCAGTAGCTGAGCTGGGGCTGGAACTTGGCCTTTTTTTTTTTTTTCGAGAGAGATTTATTTTTTTTTTTAAGATTTTTTATTTATTTATAGAAACACACACACAGAGAGAGAAGAGAGAGTGGCAAAGAGACAGAGGCAGAGGGAGAAGCAGGCACCATGCAGAGAGCGTGACGTGGGACTCATCCAGGGTCTCCAGGATCACACCCTAGGCTGCAGGCGGCACTAAACTACTGCGCCACCACAGCTGCCCTGGAATTGGCCTTAAGGAGAGACCTCTTTTCTCTTGAGCAGGCTAAGGAGATATGAATATGATAAACCATAATATACTATGTAAATAAATATCACCTGAAGCCACTCGTCTTAATGATGTCTAGACTTCAGTCTACCTGTTTGTTTTTCTCAAGTTCTGCCCCAAATGGATGCAAGCCCCAGTCCTCTGCTTTTTGGCTGTAGGAGAAAAGGTATGGGGTATTTGAACTACCCCTGCAACTGTGGGTCTCTGCTCCTAATCCCCTCCTGACCAATGGCTTGTGACAGCAGTGATTTCACCCACCCCTCTGTGCCTCTTCATGAGGAATGCAGAGAATGAGCCTCATGCATAAGGCCACTTGACCTTATGCAGGGTGACACGGAGGTGATGGGGATAGGGTGTGGGGAGTGTTTTAGTGACAAATGATTCTTACTCGGATTGGGTAAACATTCCCTAGGCCCACATGTAACTCTCAAATATTTGCCTCCCTGACTTAGGCTTCATTCTCTCCAAATTGGGACTAGAAACCAGCTTGGAGACTTCTAATAAATGTTTGCCATGATCCAAGATGAGGTGTCTTCTTTCCTTTTACCTACCATTCCAGATAAAACAACAGCGCAACAAGTTTGACATTGTGGTGGGGAAGAGTGACATCTGAATAAGCAGGGACCGCAAAAAGGAGATTTGGCCCCGTTGCTGCAGGACAACTGAACACACTCAACACTCTAGATCCCTCCTCTCGCATCTGAAGACACTGCAGCAAACAAGCAGGCACACACACAGCAGAATTGAAAGGCATCTGTCAATTTTCACTGAGAACAAATTAGATGGTCTAATGATGACTACAGAGAGGTCCCCTGGGAGCTGCCCACTCATCCTGAAGTGTGGTTTATATCTTCATACGTCTTCACGTCACTAACTAGCAGCCCTTCATCTCACCTTGAAGAGCTCCTTTCAGACTGATGATTCTTAGTCAAGCAAAGCTTTGTGGCTGCAAAATCATCCTCCAGCCCTCAAACTCCCTTCATGTTGACTGGCTGGCATTTTATTGGAAGCAAGAGCCCTTTCTTCTTTCCTAGGTAGTTCTCCATTTATTACTAATTTATTTATTATCACTGCCGATTCATAGATCCCTATTTTCAACGGTTTATTTTCTTAATTATTTTGTTTCTCAAATTATCCCAGATTTGGCTGAGGGGAGCCTCTGGAAGCTGATTCCCATGTCTTTTGGACAGGTCCCCATCACTTTTTTGAGCACCGCCTGTCTCTCCTGCACAAGATGGACCAAGTTCATCTTGTAAAAGAAAAGCATGGGGATTAGAAAAAAAAAAGAAAGTGTCACTTACAGATCAATAAAGGTGATTATACATTGGCAACTACAGGTGTTCCATTAGGAATAATTATTCTAAGTATTTAACCTGCAAGGAAATAACTATGCACAGAAAAAAGGACTAGAAGAAAATGCTAGAAAACTAGAAAAAACTCTGTGAGGATGATGAGAATTGTTTTCATTTCATATTGCTCTTTTTTCTTTTCTGTATATCTCAGATTTTATATGATGAGAATGTATAATTTCTATAATGAAAAAAATTATATAAAAGGATCCTTCTTTCTAAGAATAATGGAGTGGGCTAACTCTGAGAACATTAATAAAGGGTGAATAAAGATGTTAACAAATGGGGATCCCTGGGTGGCTCAGCGGTTTAGCACCTGCCTTTGGCCCAGGGCGCGATCCTGGAGTCCCGGGATTGAGTCCCACATCAGGCTCCCGGCATAGAGCCTGCTTCTCCCTCCTCCTGCCTCTCTCTCTCTGTCTATCATAATTAAATAAATAAAAATAAATCTTTAAAAAAAAACAAGCATGTTTAAAAAAAAAAGATGTTAACAAATAGAAATACACAGAAAACACTTTACTGTCATCAATCACACTATCAAATCTCTGTGCCACACACAAGGTCTCAGAAAACCTGATTTCCTGGACCTGGTCCTGCCATGTGTGCCACCAGGGTAACTTTAAATCATGTTGTCAAGTTGGGCCTCAATTTCTTCATCTGAAAAAGGAGATCATTAAGTTCGTCCTCTAGCAGCCATGTAATGAGGTTCAAACGAAACCATGTTTATGAAAAATCCTTTAAAAGAGGACAAATGTAAATCATTTTCAAGAGCTTTTTAAAAATTTTTGTTTTAGGGATCCCTGGGTGGCGCAGCGGTTTGGCGCCTGTCTTTGGCCCGGGGCGCGATCCTGGAGACCCGGGATCGAATCCCACGTCGGGTTCCTGGTGCATGGAGCCTGCTTCTCCCTCTGCCTGTGTCTCTGCCTCTCTCTCTCCCTCTCTCTGTGACTATCATAAATAAATAAATTAATTAAAAAAATTTTTTGTTTTATGCTTTATTGGAACCTTAAATTTTTAGCAGTTTCCTTTTATGTGATTGTCAGCTAAGGTGTCTGGGAGTCTCTCTGAGCCTGCACGGGTCTGTCTCATGGCCAAAGCAGCAGCAACCCCATGGCTTAAATCAGGTTCCCCAGAAGCTACTTGGGGAGGAGGATTCCTGTGCAAGTGATTTATTTATTAGGGAGTGTTCCCTAATAAATAAAACAAGTAAGGAAGTGGAATGTAGGATCAGAAAGCAAAGGAGGCCCAGCAAAGTACCTTATCAGAAAAATTACTCCATGATAACTTTGGCTTATCCCACAAGTGAATTCTGGGGAATGTTATACCCCTCAGAGTCATCCTGGACAGGGGCGAGGGAACTGGAGCATTTATACCCTTGTATACTCAGTAACTAAAAAAGGGGATGGGAGTGGGCAATCTCCCAGGCACTGCCTGTGTGCAGGCAAAGCTGATTCCAGCAGCCCTGAGGTCTGCCCTCTGACAAAGAAACGTAAATGTGGCCAAATATAGACTCCAAAATGGTAAGGGGATCTGAGTGGATGTAGGTAGAGCACTGACATCAGCCCAAGGAAGGCTGGGCATTCAAAACAAAGAAAACAAAATGAGAACCAGTGTTACACATTGGAAAGACCTTTGGGAGGCACCACAGTTAGGTATATGGAGACTGGGTCCAGAGAGGTTGAGTGGCTTGCCCTGAGTCACACAGATGGCAGCCAAAATTCCAGCCCTCGTCTGCCTGAGTGAAGTCCATCTGGTCTGCCAAAGCCTGAGCATCCTCTTCTGTACCACATTACTCACTACACTGAGACTAATGCCTTTTCTATGGAGGGTCACCCCTATAGGGAATCCTTCATGTGCCACAGAATCTTACAGACCACCCTGCCTTCAGAAAACTCAGAGCCCCTGTGGGTATCTTCAGGATGGTATTAGTGGCCCCTTACCCATAGTCACTCCTCTCTTCTTGAATTTGTCCAACACAAGGCACCAGAATGGTTGAACCATGACTTTATGAACCCCAAAGAGAGACGCATGTGTCTCAGATACAGGGTGGCCCGTCTCCGGGCTACAAAGATGTTATTAATGATTTGGGGAGAGTCAGTTAGATAAACAGGTACCATCTCAAACAAAAGACCTTGTGAGCTCACCCGTTTGTTTCTCCTTTATTGTACTTAAAGGCAATTACCCCACATCCTGCATTCTGAACATGAGCAAACATGTGAAGGAGCCAGACACACAGAAGCTCCAGTCACGCAGACCTCGCATCTAGCTAGGAAGCAATGGTCCAGAGCCCCAGTTCCATGGCCAACCCTGCCACACACTAGCTGAGGAATATTGGGTAAGATGTACAATCTTGTCAGGTCTGAGCATCCTTGTTTTCATAAAGTAGAAAAGCCATGTCTACCCCATAATGGTACTGTGAGGATCTACAACATCTCTAGAGGGCTTCATAACTTGTCAAGCTCAACGCACACATAAAAGTATATTTATTTATTTATTTATTTATTTATTTATTTATTTATTTATTTATTTATTTATTTTACATAAAAGTATTTTATCCACATTTGTTTTACCAGCTCAATTTTTATAAAGCCAAATGCAATCACTCCCTTTTCTCAGTATCACTGATCCAACATTCTCAGACACCCTGACACCATCCAAGAGTTAAAATACAAACTTATAAGGCCTCTGAGTAGACGTACCAGATGACATAAACCCATATACTTTTCTCATAATGAAGCAACCAGGCTCTAATGCCCAATGTATTTTCTTCTAGGCAGTTCTAACAAGCTTCATTATTGTGTCTGGTTTCTCAGAGTAGAAGCAAACAAAGCCTCAAGAAGTTGGCCCACTGACCCTAGCAAAAAAGCAGTATTTAACAGCCTGACAGGAGAAATGTCCGAAAGAGTATAAATGACAGCTGTATTCACTCAAA